CAAAATAGGAGTAACGTAAAATTTATAGAATTAAAGGTTCAAAAGAGGAGTAAATGAATATAAGTGTCAAAGTAGGTTTAAATAAGTATATTGGTCAGTTAAATAGGTTCAAAGTATCTTCAAAAGTTTGAAAGTAGCATCAAAATTTCGACTCGGGAATACGAACTGTTTATAATATAGTTGTGTGATGTATAGTTTACGTCATATATACATATGTATATATATGTATATATATATGTGTATATGTATATGTATATATATATATACATACATATATATATATATACATACATATACACATATACATATATTAGTTTCCATTAATGCCTATTTACGTGCACAATAATATTTTAATATTATGAAGGTATTATCATGGTATTATTAATATTATGAATATAATATTATAAAAGTATGCAACTTTTTGAATACACGAGTAGGCATTAATGGAACGGTATATACATTGTAATATAATTTTAAAACACTCATTAACTATAAAAGAGAAGTGATTTTTTTTTATTGTTTGCATGATCAAATTTTTTATATAGCTATTCCATAATTTTATTTTTTCAGCATCAACGTACCTTTTCTTTGAGTTAGCATTAAGTTTTAATATACTAACAAGCTCTCAAGTGCAAAAATCGCAACAATGTGAGTATTACAGAGTATTTCTAATCTGGCAGTCACAAATTGTCGATTTGGTTAAACACTTGAGATGAAATTTTTACATACGATTCTTATTTCGGAGTGAAAAAAAATGAGAAAAAATCAGCAAGTTTTCTTTTTGAGAGAATATGAAAATTATTTTCATCGCATCGGTTGATGCTTCAGCAAAGACGCCTTCAAATAACAATATTGTTGTTCCAAATGATTTTGGTGCCAAGCGTCACGCCACGTGACGCCGATTTAGAAATATTTTGTATAAAACGTATGTTACACAAGCGCACGCGCGCATGTAACGCACACGTGACAGGACACGTTTGCACACACAACATTCGGTTGGCGATGTAAATGTCTCTGCGCATGTAAGGTTGTGCCAATGATAACCTTTACGACAATGAAATACATTACCTTGGTGTAACTTCGCGTGTTAAAAGACGCCCGTTAAGACTGCGTGCGCGAAGACGCAACACAGTCCTGCGTAGACTACGTTTTTGTTTGTTACATTAAGCGCGTATTTATATTGTATTACACACGTATTACATAATATCAACGTAGTAATATCAGTATCGTAATATCATACGGTAACATGGTAAATAATATATAGTAATTTTTGCCATTTTTACTATGTAATGTCATACCCGGAACAGACTACCTCAGAGTTCAGGAATTAAAAAAAAAAAAAAAGAAAAAAAACGATTAATGAATGGAGAAAAAGAAAAGATGAAAAAGCCAATGCAATAATAATAATAATAATAGTAATATTATGTAAAAATAAACTAAAAGATAAAAAGCGCGTGTCCAAGCGGGGGCAAAAACGACGTTACTTCCACTGCAGTTGGATTGGCGTTTTTCGATTTGGAGGTCTTGCGTAAAATTATAATTTTACAAGAGGGCAAGGAACAGTTCCTTTCTTTTGGAGACGGTTTGGTTTTTTCTTTGAGATAAACGTTATGTTGAAGCGTATTTCTTCGCGCTTCGCGCGGAACACACATTGCTTTTTGTTTGTATGAAAACATAATAAACGTAGTGGAAAAATGAAACATTTCACAACGTAAACTCGTCTCTTTGAAACATTTTCCTCGCGGCGAATCGCTCGCTGATCTGATCAGCTTAATAATGGAATATTCAAAATGATGTAAAATCTGATACGATATGAATACAAAAGTTTAAGAAAAAAACCGACGTATGGATTTTAGAAACATATCAGACGATGCGCTCGGTGTTATTACGAATAATTGTAAGCGAATGCGTGGTTTTAAGACATAGAGAAGTAAAAAGAAAACATGCGCGCTTTGATTTTGTATTTCTAAACACATATCACGATATTTCACAAAATGTTCGAGCGCATCGTCAGCAAAGACTACTGCTCGGACAAGTTAGTAAATGTACAAGGTTTTAGAAAAATTTTTTTGCAGTTTTAATACTTTTTACATCATTTTTGATAGTTATAATAATTTTTAAAGCAGGAAGAAGAGTTGAGTTTTACACAATTTTAATTTGTTATAATAAAAACGTTAATCATTTATTGTTATTATTATTATTATTACTGATAAGCAGTTATTATGCAGTAGTATTTTACGAGCAAACGATAAGACAAAATGCTAAATATCCTGTTACATTCCACGTGTTATAAAAACGTTAACGTACACACGTGTATATGTTGCACACAGACAAAAAATCGTTCTCTAAGAAAAAATACATGCATAACAATTTAGAATAAAAATATCTTAGTTTTTTAATATAATTAGTAATCACGCTATTTTAGTTTTGTTTTAAATTTTGTTTTATTCAAATGTATTGCATAAATTTCTCTGCGCAAATTATTTTACGTATTTGATTTCTAAATACTCATACGATATATCTGTCGCATACGTGTATGATAAATTAATTATAGATAAAGCGAATGAAGAAAGAGAATGCAGTTTTCTTGAAATATCAAAATACAGTGTATTTTAGAGAAATAGAAAAGCATCGAACATACAAAATTGTTTCGTGTACTGTGACATGGTAGCTGCAGCCGCTTCTCCCACATTACATGTAAACGATCATATACTTTTTTTTATCAAAGAAAAAAAAGAGAGAGAAAGAGAAAGTGAAAGGGAGAGTTGAAATAATTCACATCTTTGAAAAAACAAATTTCTAGCTTTCCCACAATACTCCCGACAGAATTTTCAACTGTCCAGTTTACAGATAGATTAGAGGTAGATCGCAGGTGAAGAAAAAAAATAAATTGTTGAAGATATAAACAATATATACTAAAATTGTTTATGCTGAATATTTTTCAAGAAGATTGTATTCCGAGATACATTTATATCCTTAAAAATAAACATACTTATAGGATATGCATGTAAATATGTTCTTCAATATATCACTAATATCACTAAGGTTTATAACTTGCTCTAAAAAATGTGATTCTAATTTCACGGGCATTTTCTCGAAAAGAGTATATTGAAATATAAGAAATTTTCTTGAAGAGAATAAAAAAAATAACTCGTAAGAGAGAGTAAAAGTGAGAGAAAGAGAGCGCGTAATGTTATTCCCTACATACTTGTTTATATTTCCCTTGTGCCATAATATACATATATATATATATATACAGGGTGTTTCAGAACTATGGGATCAAACTTCTAGGGGTTATTCAGTGCAACAGTAGAAAACATTTGAGTATAGGGACCCATGTCCGGAAAAGTGTCACTACCGCACTACGGCCCTAAGAC